TCAAGGGTATACAAGCCTTGTTTCTTCACGCCTCTCAAGACTTCCTTCGACCCTTTCATGACTCTCAGGATACTTTTCTCTCCTTGAAACACATATCCTTTCTTGTCGAATTCACCAAGAGAAATCAAATTTCTCTTCAAATCAGGTACATACCTGACTTCAGTCAACAATCTTATTGACTCATCATGGAGCTTGAATCTCACAGATCCAACGCCTGCAATCTTGCAAGCTTTGTTGTTTCCCAGCAATACAGATCCACCATCTTGATCACATAATTCCTCGAACAAGTCTTTGTTTGGAGTCATGTGCCAAGTGCATCCAGAATCCATAATCCATTCCTTCGACGGGTTTTTGCTTGAAACCACAAGAACATCAGATGATTCGAAATCATCTTGGACAATAGCTGCGTTGCCATTATCCTTACCTCCATGATCTTTCAGGCGTTCAGGGCACACCTTTCTTGTGTGACCTACTTTCTTACAGTGATAACATCTAATACCAGATGCATCACCACTATAAGACTTCGACTGATTTTTACCTTTCCTCTTGTCGAATTTTCCTTTAACAGCCAAACCTTCACCAACCGTCGAAGGTTTATGCTCCTTACGTTCGTTCAAGTCCTTAGAGTACAAAGCTGATTGAACTTCTTCAAAGGTCAGGGACTCTCTTCCATACAAGAGGGTTTCTTTGAAGTGAGCATGTGATCTGGGCAAAGCGCACAATAATAACAGCGCTTGATCTTCATCATCAATCTTTACATCAATATTTTCAAGATCAAGAATCAGCTTGTTGAACATATCCAACTGCTCAGCCAACACTTTGTCTTCAATCATCTTGAATGAATACAAAGCTTGCTTCAGGTAGAGTCGATTTACCAGAGATTTGGTCATATACAAACTTTCAAGTTTCACCCATAACCCTGATGCCGTCGTCTCCTTTGATACCTGTCGAAGAACCTTATCACCAAGGCTCAACAAAATTACGCTGTGTGCTTTCTCGATCATGGCCGTCTTCTCTCTTTCTGTTAACGCAGCGTCCATCGACGTCGCTCCCTTCAACGCTTCCAAACAACCCTGCTGAACCAGTAGGGCTTTCATCTTCAAGCGCCATAGACCGAAATCATTCACTCCGGTGAACTTTTCAATCTCATATTTTGTTGAAGGCATCTTCTCCACGCTCACCGCACCAATTTGTTGTGAATTCAATGCCAATAACAAAGTATAGAATAAGGGAAGAATAAAGAACAAGGAAGAAGAAGAACACAAGAATTGGTTATAACTGCTATTCTTTACTTTCTCTTAGGAAACAAGATTACAAGTTTACAAGAATAACAAATAACCCTCTCACCCTGAATTAGGATTTGCTGTCATGGCAATGATGAGAGACTAGTATGCTATTTATAATAAAACCTAACATACTAACTAATGGGCTTTTTCCACAAGGCCCATTATACAAGCTAACTTAACAAACAAGCTAACTTAACAAATTAGGGTTTAAACACTAAAACCTAATTCGACAAGCATCCTTCGACAAATACATGCTAGAACCTTCTTCGACTACAGCAAGTACTTCGACCAACTAGAGTTCGATCCAAAAATCCCACAATTATCAACAAAAACAGGTGCTGGTACATAGTGAATCATGGATTGCTAACATAGTGTAATTACAACATCTTAACTATTACAACAGTGAACTCAACATAAAACATTCCAAAACTTTGTCTACTTGATCGTGTTCTTCATAGCAACTTCTAATGCAACATTAGTGAGCCTTAATTGTTCAACCTCCCTTTTTGCTTCCTCGATTTCTTTTGTTAACATTTACATTCTACTTTGTTGCTTCATCGTGAATTTCTTCTTTTCATCTCCAACTTCTTCATAGTATCAGTCAAAGAAGCCACAACCAGCGTGATTATATCCCTATATTGATTAAGAAAGAAACAAACAATAGTAGAAGATTCAACAATAGTTTAACCTAGAGTTTTTACACTTCAGTTTACCTTAAAATATAGACAACCCCAAAAGAACTTTCCATAATTGTTTGTTCTAGCCCTGCGAAGAACAACAATGTATCCACAACGACAACAAGATTTCCATCAAAAATTAGAATTACTATAAACTTGTGAATCACTGCTTTGAATACTCTTGTTGTTCACTGATGATGATGAACAACACCTAGAACCCATGATTATGGAATCAAAGTATTCAATTTAGATTTTGTTTTGGGAATTTTTATCACTTTTCAAATTAGGATTTGATTAGGGGTAAAAAATCATAGAAGACACGGTGAATAAGATGTTAAAGAAGAATTGTCACCTCAATTGTCTCATGTGTAATATTTGACATTATTTTTTATAATGATGACGGAAGGACTTATGTGACTCTGTTTGAGAAGATAAAGGATCAAAGTGGTCATTTTAAAAGAAAAATGACCAAAATGAACTCAGAGATAAAAAGGTAAGGAACAAAAATGATATTTAACATAAACTAATTAAATGTTAATTTCAAATATAAGTTAGACAAATGCACTTTTGGTCATCTGAATTGATAGTTTCTAACTTTTGTTCTCTATTTTAAAAATTAGTTTCTTTTCTATGAATTTAATATTGTTGTATCAAATCTCCAATTTCAATCATTCTTCTTCCTCCAATCTTGAACATTATTGTATATGGACAACAATATGATATTAAAAGATTAAACGAAAATAAGAAATTAGTGGTTAAGTCGCTTATATTTCAAGTTGACGTATTATCTAACTCTATTTTTATCTTTTACGTGTCTAATTTGATATAAAGTAATACAATTTAAGTATGCTTGATTTGGTTTGTGTTGATATTCTAACTAAGCAAATATTTAAATTTTTAATGCACTTATAGAATTATATTAGTATCTATCATGAATATAATTATTTTAAATTTTTTGAAATTTAAGGTCAAATTCTAGGATTTTATTAGTTTACAAGTCAATTTATTGGTGTGGTTAAGTCGCTTATATTTCAAGGTGACGTATTATATAACTCTGTTTTTATAATTTAAGTATGCTTGATTTGGTATGTAATGATGTTCTAACTAAGCTAATATTTAAATCATTAATGCACTTATAGAATTATATTAGTATATATCATGAATAGAATTATTTTAAATTTTTTTTGAAACTTAAGGTCAAGTTCTAGGATTTTATTAGTTTTTTCTTCTCCTTAACTCATCATATCCGAGATGTAATTTGAAAGAAAATGATGTCAAAAAGTTCCAACAAATTATATAGAAAAGTTTTAGAAAAAACCAAACACCACTCAAACAAGGTCTTCAAGAAATTATACAAAAAAAAAAGCAAAAAAAAAATACAAAAGGGTGGAACATTAAGGCATATAATATATAGTCGTGATTCATGAATCTACCACTAGAAAACCTGTCCTAAAATACCCAGCCACAAATGTTTTCCACGTCTGATTCTCTTGCACTTCGAAGCTCTTAGCAAATTTTGCACATCCTTGTTAGCATGGCTCACATTTGTTGTTCCCATGCATCAAAATCCAAAAAACCAACCAATAGTAAAACAACTTAACATGAATTTAATAGCATTATATTATCTCCATTATTATAAATTATGGAAAAGGGACAATCTATCATTGAGGGGATGCTATTAGACTTTCTGAAATGCAGTTAACTGGCAGGCAATCCTATAAGAATCCATATACAATGTTGATACGATTTCTTAGGTAATAATTTTATAACTTACAAAACTACAATATCAATATTCAATAATTGGTTATATATAACTAAAAAATCATAGCAGTATGTTTTAGAGATTTTAGAAGACACGGGACTATGAAAGAGCAAAGCTGGCAATAATAACCAGTTGCACCATCCATAATTCATCATACACACATAAAAACCTTGTTTGTCTGAAATATATTTTGGAGATGCTTAGCAGAAGGTGCCTAAAACTAAATTCATGAAACGTGATCACAACATATTATGTCCAACAAAAATACTGTTAGAATATAAGATTGCTTGCTTATTAAACATTATTTGGTTTCTCATTTTGTTTCCCATAGAAAACTACTAGAGGCATATATATAATATTAAGACTTAAATATGTTTAATCCCTGCAAAATTGAGAAGTTCCAAGAATAGTCCCCTGCAAAATTGAGACATTTTAAGAATAGTCCCTATTTTTCATGCAACATTGTTCTCTGGTTGAAAGGGGACTAATGTGCCTTAGAATTAAGTATTTAGGTGACTAAAATGCCTTTTTTTTAATAGGGGACTAAACTTGAAAGTCCAATTTTTTTAGGGACAAAGAACATATATAACTCTAATATTAATTCTCCAATGCTAACATATGAAACCAAATGTGTATGTCAGGATAAAGGTTCATATCAGTAGTTCACCCAGTTCTAATTTCAATTTCTGATTGCTAACAATCAAACCAACCATTGGAAAGAACGGAGACTTCAAGAACCTGTTGAAACTAATTGAGAGCTATCATAGGATTCAGCTAACTAAACATATAACTAAATCACGGTATCTGTAACCTGAATAGGTTGTGTCAACATCTTCAATATAAGCTCACCAAGCATAGCTACTGGAAAGATCAAGAACAAAGTAGTCTTTCGAACAAAATTCTAATAGGTGTAACCTACAATAGTACACATTCACACAACTTTGTGATTCTAACTAAAACTGATATTCATAATCACGGCAGTCTAACTTGCAAGCATCTGATTATCACATAAAGCATAATCTAACTAAAAGATCGTATAGGCTGATGAATGATAGGAAGCTCTAGATGTTGTTCAGAAAGCTCTAGATTGATGTTGTTCAGAAAGCTCTAGGTTGATGTTGTTCTATCTTCGGTTGTCTAAGCAATAGATTAAAACTGACATGCTAGTGGTTCATCTGACTTCTAGAGAGTGCCCCCACCTGGAGTAAGTGCCTTGTATCTAGAAAATGCTTAAACCTGCACATGCAATTTCTACTGCAAAGCTTAGTCATAAAACTATCTTGTGTAAGGATGGTAACGACTACCGCCCCCATATCCTCCCCTACTAGAATAGAGTCCTCCTGTTCCACCAAAACCTGCACCAGGGCCAGTTTCATAACCTCCACCTGTGCCTGAACCACCATAATTTCCATAGCCCGTGCCACCTCTCCCATATGGGGCTAACCCACTACCACCATATCCACCACCAAGGCCACCCATGTACGATCCATAGCGGCCAGAGTAGCCAAATGATGATTCTCCTCTATAGCCCGCATAACCACCAGCACCACCACTGCCCCCATAACCTCCAAAACCACCACTGAAGTCATCTCCACCTCCGTACCCACCATAATCGCTAAGCCTAGCAGTGTAACCTCCAAGTGACCTATAAGATGCAGGGGCATAACCTCCACTGGGAAAACCTCCATAAGAATCACCAAATCCACCAAAACCCTCATTGTAAGACCGTGACCTAGAGTCGCTACCAAATGGAGGAAAAGAAGCTGAACTTGAGGATTTCTTTGGTTCAGCCTTCTTGATCTCAACCTACAACAAAGAATTAGGTCAACCTAGATTCATTCATAAACAGAACCTTTTTTCCTTGGTTTTGGTTGGGCAGAGAAATAATAAAACTTGCAGTAACCCCACTACACAAATAATGGAAAAACACAAATAAAGAGAGACATATCATTATTGAGAACCAAAAGAGATCCCCAATTATCAAATACTTTAACAGAGCATTCTTTATCATAGAAACAGTTTACCACCTCTCTAAAATCAGCATTGCAAGTTTCAATTTTAACCACCCTAAAAAAACAAACCAAACTCACCTGAGTACCGTCCATATCAATCATGTTCCCATCAGCTAACAAAGTATCAACAACCTTGTCATTATCAAAGACTACAAAACCAAATCCACGAGATCTTTTAGTGGCATGGTCACGTATTATCTCATGCTCCACAACATTTCCATGCTTAGAAAAGAAGTTCTTGAGCTCATCTGAAACACACACCAAAAACAAGCATAAAATAAGCTCACTAGCTCACAAAACCAAAAATACAATTTGAAAACACAAACTAACAAATCAAAGTGCAGGAAGCAAACCTTCAGTTACTGCAGCTGGAATACCACCTACAAAAATCTTCTTAGTTTTGAAGTCACTAGTATGTGATGCACCCTTTGGAATGGTCCTCTTAATTTCAACCTGGCAATAGCAAATACAAAAAAAAACAGTAAAATATTTGCAAACAACAAAACTAAAAAACACAAAACGAAACCCAAACTAGGAATTACCTGCTTATCATCGATGATGTGATTCTCCTGAATAACTTGATCAACAACGGAAGGATCCGCATATGTAATGAACCCAAACCCTCGAGGTCGACCGGTATGTCGATCCTTCATGATAACGGAATCCGTTATCTCTCCATACCTTTCGAAGTACTTCACAAACGTGTCTGCAGAATCAAACAGAATCAAAACGGTAAATTAAATAATAGTGAAATTGAAAGTAAAATATATACAAAAAAAATGAAAAAATGGTAACCTATGGTTGTTTCTTTGGCTAACCCTCCGATGAAGATTTTCCTGCATCAAGGAGAAAAGAGAAGTTAAGAATTAGAGGAGAATGATAGGAGATATCGGTGATGAAGCGAAAGAGAGATGGGACGAACCCGGGACTGGCGCCGTCTCCGTATTGAGGGTTGTCGGTCTTCCTTGACGCCATGGTTGGTTGCAGATCGAATATTCAGAGAGTTTTTGAAGTGAAACTCGTTGTTGCGGATAAAGAAGTTGATTGAGGAAGAAAGCTAGGGTTGGTTATTGGTTATATTATAACTTTGTGAAATAGGATCATTCAATTGGGCTTTAGAAAAGGTTTTGGGTTTGGGCTAGGCTACAAACTTACCAATTCTAAAAAGGGAATTTTTGAGAATTTCTCTTTCAATTCTAGAGTGAAAAGAAAAATCCTACGCAATTCTTAAAATGTCTTTTGAAATCGAAAAAATATTTTTGGTGTATAATTTTTTTTGTTAAACCATGTCTAGAAATCGAAAATACATTTGCAAATCGAACCAAAAATGTATTTTCGGTTTCTGTGCAGACAATACCAGAAAGACTTATGTTGGCAATGGGTCTTTTTGCGCGTTGTATCGCATTGAATACAAAGACATATACAACAAAACATACTACAAAACATATAAAACAAAGACATATATAACTAGATATCAGTAAATATTATAAAAGGTGCTCGTAGTCATTATAGGGGGTGACCCAAAATATTATCCAAATACAATAAAAAAATGATAATCAAAATACATATACAACATTAAAGAGTAATGGGTATGGCAGTCTCTGAGTCCGTCCGTCACCCTCTTAGTGTTCCTCCGCTGCCTCCTGTACTGCAAAGCCCCCTGAACCTCTGTCATGATGGCATCTAGAACACCTCTAACATCAGAGCCATCAAGAAACAACCCACCATCAATATATGTATGTGCAATGTCCATGATACGACGACACCTAGACAACACATCAATGGCATGATCGACATGTGCTTTCACCTCCTCTAGAATGTCCTGATGAGATAGCCTCAATGAGTTTCCTGGAGCATCATGTACCAGGTATAGATGGAACACCTGGAAGAACCATATGATATAATTGTCCACGTAGATCCAATCATTTGGAACAATGGTACTCCGGGCCTCATCTAGAACAAGATGATTCTCATAATCATCAAACAAGGCATTCATATTCTTGTGTTTCACCAGGGGAGGAGCAGATACAGCAGAATCTCGGGGAATGTATTGGGTGTACCCGAACTGACGCATGACGCACTCAGGCATATAAGAAGTCGCCTTGCGCGACCCGTAAGCCTATCATCCCGTAAACAACGCAACATCATCAAATTGTATCATGACACGGTGATCGTGGTATGATGGAAGTGTATGTCCTTAAACATCAGCCAATCAATATACACTCGGAACAGTTATGTCTCCTAGTTCCCTCAGAGCGGGTCGTATACAGTGACACGCGACTTAGCTTCAGTATAATCCATGGCTAGTGACCAATCTAACATATGGGGGGAGTGCATTATAATTCATCCCTGAAATAAAAATAATTATTAATTAGTAACGGAATCACAATAATTAACAAAACGCCACAAAGACTAAGAAATTTTACCGTCGAGAGTGTGATGTTGTCGGTCATCTGCTTTGTCTTCCACTTATATCCTTCAGACAGTTTCGTATACAAGTACACCAAACAAGCATTCCCTCATTTCCACTAGTGGATCTGCTCAAAATCATCAAAGTACCCCAGGTACATCACATCTGTGTAACTGGCACTAGTGTCCATAAAAATCTGTATACCAACCAGAAACAAAAGGTATGCTTTCATAGAAAACCTCTGGTGTAGGGTAACCTGCTCGGGATCAGCATCAGCCTCTCGTGCACGCCTTATCTCATTTGTGAACAACTTCTTCAAATAATTATATCTTACGTAGGCACCACAGGTGAAGTCTAACTTAGTCATGGCACTCTCAAGGGTAACTCCCAATTTCTCTACCAACATATCCAACGCCTCCTCTTTGTTAATCCTTTCATGGTTTAAAAATGTCCCTCTAGTCAGAAAATGCAATAAAGATGTGATGTCGTCCAGTGTGATTGTCATTTCACTATGTGGTAGATGGAATGACGATGTCTCATGGTGCTCCCTCTCAATAAAACCGTTAATTATACCATGATTAATGACGTTATAACCACACTTGGTCAAATCTTTTAACTTTGTAAGCATCAACAAGTCATCAAAACATGGCTTAAGAGGGGGTTTGAGGTTACTGATCTTCTGCCCATGATTAATGACCTTTAGTGGATCACGTTCCTACATACATGGTTTGATAAAATTCATTCAACAAAAAACCATAATAAAAATGTAATAGAAGGAACGAGTCAAAATTCATACCTCTACGTCCCATATATGTTTAGCAACATGGTTTATGTATAGAGGCATCAGAGATAAATTAGACGGTCCTCCTCCAAAACTCTGAGGCGCCGTAGGTGCCACCTGAGATGCCTACTCAGGTGCTTGAGATGTCTGGGGTGCCGCCTCAGGTGCTGGGTGTTGTACCCCGAAATTTGCCCTCTCATTTCTAAAAAAACATTTCTCACAAAATCTTCAATAGCTCAAGCTTGCACAAGGATTGATTAGGTCAAACCATCTCTTCAACACTGATACCTCAAATTAGGGTTTTAGTTTTCACAAGGACAATTGGACTTTTAATGCCTTATATGACTTTCATGGATCATTATGGACCTTCAAGATTGCTCATGTCAAGTTTCAAGTCTTGTAGTTCAAGTTTACTCAATTAATTGATCAGATGACCTAAAATCAACTATATTGGATGAAAAGTTAAATATGGTCAACTTACAGTCAAACTTCAAGATTTTTGGCCCATATCAACATTTTGAACTCATATGTATCAATTGATCAAGTTTGGATCATAATTCCCAAAGAAATTGTTCAAATCACCAAAAGGGCAAAATTGTCAAAATTAGGGTTTTGACTATATTTGACTGATCAAGAGTTTTTGACCTAATACATGACTTATTAGTTTGAAACATGATATAAATTATTAAAATGAATCATCTTGACCTAATTGCATGGTTCAATTCATTTCTCAAGATTAATTGATTGATAGTTGAAATTCAATCAATTGATGAAAAGTCAACTGATACACCAAAAGTCAAACTTTGACTTTTTGATCAAATTTGAGTTTCAAAGATCACATTTCATCAAGAAATTAAAAAATATGAAAATTTATCATCAAGAAAGTCAAAATTCATTTTGAAAAGTCAAAGTTTATAAGACTTAGAAATTTTTCCAAGTGTTTTATACATGCTTTTCTTCATGACTTCATGCAAATTTTTCACCATGATGCAAGACGATTCAAAGAAAACTTTCAACATGAAAGTTTTAGATCTTGATGAATTATACAAACTTGTATTAGAGGGCTCATGTCTAAAAATGCTTAGATTTTGAGTTATAAGACCATAAAGTCATGAACTTTTTCTTAAAACACTTAGTGAAAATTTGACCTAGTTAGGCAGATTTTTGGTACCAACTTTATGACAACTTTTCACATAGTTCCAATTGAATTATTCAAAAATGGAAAACATGAAGGTTGTAGAGTATGTTATAATATTTCCAAAAATTCCAAGAGCTCATTGAGATCATTCTTGAGCCAGGAGAATTGAAGAGATAAAGTTAGGGTTTCAAATTTGAATTACAAGTCAATTATGTGATGAACACTTAACCAAATCCATAGCCATGCTGCATAATCTTTGCTTTGTAGGCCTCAAACTTGTGTTTCACTCCATAATTAATGCTTTACGCAACTGATAGATCCATTTTACAAGCATTTGATCCCCTATCCAATGCATCATTCCATTTTTGAAAGAAAGTAACCATTGCCATTCTTGAAAAGCAATCTTTATGTAAAGTCAACTTGTCTTGAGCATTGCACTTGTTCTTTCTACACAAGCATCCTCTAAATAATCAGAACAAGCATGTTTAAAGTTTCTAGCCACCCTACCTTGCCTTGAAACCATGTTTGTCCAAGCTTGCTTCAAAAACGAGTCAAAATTCGTAACATGTGATTTTGTACTTCTGACTTCTACAAGCTTCCAAACTCTTTGTCTATAAATTAAACCTTCATTTGCAAGCATAGACACAAGTTTACAAGCCCTAAAGTACCCTCATTCTCCCTCAAACTAGAAATTGCAACACAAGCACAAAAACTTGTCATTTATGACTTTGAAACTCAATCTTCAAATCCACTTGTGCATTTTCACTTCTAATCTGTCACAAAGCTTCTAATACACATATAGAGGCTATCACAATCCCTTTTTTCCAAATGTAACACCATCTTCTTCATCCTCCATAACCAAAAATAGGGTGCTGCATATTGACTTCTCCAGCACGATTTAGCCATCTTCAATCCAAACTAATCACTGCACTAGCTTCCTAGAGGTTCACTAGAGATATTTTGATCATCACAACACCTTGAAAGGTGCTCTAAATCAAAACACGAATTTCAGTTTCAAGGTAAGTTTTCTTAACTTTGAACTCTTCATGCAAGCATGATTAATGGTTCATTTGTGAAGATAAAATGTAGATATCATTGCCCTGAAGCTAACTGTGATACGGTGGAAGAATCATCTGTTAATACTGGTTTTGTGTTTGTGTTTGCAAATGTTGCGGTAAGAAAGAGTTGCCACTGACTTTTCTTTTATCCAACAAAGGAAAGGGTGAAAAAACAGAAAAAAAATACCTTTTCGAGAGTTTTCTGAGTAAGGGGGGTAGATTATGGAAAGGGAAGGTGTTAGCACCCTTTCCATCTGTAGTTTTCTACGGGCTCTTAGAGGTTTGCTCATTTTGAAATACCTTTGTGCTTTGCATGTTTGAAAATCTTTTGAGAATGCCTTAGTATGGCGAACTTTGTAATGTTTCTCGGGATAATGGAGAAAGTATACAAAGTGTTTTCAAAATGTTTTTGAAAAGTAATATTTGTGTAAGTGCGACAAATGTTTTGAGCAAACTTCTAACAGCTATCTACTTTGTACTTGAAAGAGTCGTTATTTTCCTCCTATCCTTTAGACAGTGTTATCCTACTATTAGTGAGTAGGTAGTTCTAGTCGTTGGATGTTTAAAGGACGATCAAAGGGACGTTTA